AAACATAATTTCAAAAGAAAAAAAAAGAGAGTAGAAAATATCGAAAAATTTAACAGAATGTCATATATAGGAATTTAGTATGGGGTCGACTCTAAAGTCATGGCCAATGTTTAATACCTCCCAATTGTAGGCATGAAAATTACTAGTGTTTATATTCCCATTAAAAGGATATAGATATTACAAAAATCAATTAGTTAATCGATAACATATTGTCATGGTCAACATTTAAAAACCTCTCATCGGTTAGAAAAGAAACATGACAATATCAAAAATAAAATCATGCAAGATGTATAAATTATATTTCTTCTAAACCAAACATTTATCTCTAAAATAGGTAACAAGGCATCATTAGCAAATCATGTGTAAATAAGCATACTTATTTTCAAAAAATATTAAACTAAATTCTTAGAAATATTATTGTGTCCTACAAGTCATATAAAAAGAGTTAAGTCACGTCTCCACCTGAAAATAGTTCAAAGTCATGCTTTAAAATCTTAGTTTAAAATCAAGGATAAAACCATAATAAGTTTATTTCACATTACAATGGTCAAGAACAACACAAGAATCAAGGCCTCGATTGACAAATGATTAAGACCCTAGGTAAAGTAATCATGAATTAATAGCCAGTTAATTAAAAATAAAAACTAAAATTATTAAAATATTTTCATGTCTAAGATCAACCCATGTGCATCCATATTGATTAACCACCATTCTAACTAATGAAAATCTAACTAATGAAAATCTAACACTATCTTTACAAATTTAGTTCTTCCTAAAACCATAATTTCCAACCTGTAGCATCCCAAAAACAACTACCCATCTAATCAACAACTTATGTATTCTAAGGGACTCATTAGGTGTTATGATGCACTAAAATCACCCTAATAAGTATATTAATCGTTCCAAGTAATATAATTATGAGAAGAGTGTTGAATCCATGCGGTTTGGGAATAATTAACTATAAAAAATGATTAATTTAAATTTATTTGAACAATTGAAAGAAAATAAACTTTAATAAAAAATAATAAAAAATAGCAATTAAAATAATGTTAATCAAGATATGAGCTATTAAGGCATCGATTTCATCATAATCAATCAATATAAATTGTGAATTAATATACTCTCAAAATCAATTTGTTAAGTGTTATTGCATGTGATCACAGATTTTCCTAAATTAACCAACTAGTTTTATAAAGTCAAGTTAATCCTTCACTTGTTTGTTAAATTAATCATATCTCTATGTAATTTTAAACAAACTAATGACTATTAAATTCTATGGAAACCTCTAGTTTACTAACTCTCTTCTCTTCCTCCACTAGCACATGTGAGTTAATTACATTTTGATCTTATAATATAACACAGTTTATATTATTATTGATCTAATTTACACAATTCTTTTTTAAGCTCATGCATAAATCACTAAATCAATCGAAAGGTGATCAAGTTTTCAATGCATTAAGTTCATGAATAACTTTAATTGAAAATATAAAAATCATAAAATCTATATTAAATTAATTAGGTTATATTGTAACCTTAGTAGAATAAATTAATTCATAATGAAAATAATTAAATCTGAAATTATAGTAATGACCATTCAAATATCAAACAATAGTTAAAAAGAATTTAAGTAAAAACAAAACTCAATTTTAGAAACTTGAACTCCTTGATATTTTATTATTGATGAATTTTTTATCTTGATCTCTAAAAACACCTAAAAGAGAGTTGCCACCAACCTCCACCAAAGCTCTCCTCAATTTTGAATTTAAATGGATATTTACAATATTTTAAAAATCCTAATTGAAATATAAGTAGGAACTATGCCCAAAATAATAAATTAAACACAGATTTTCTAAAAATAACGTAAGGGGTGAACACCTTCAACAACGTGTCGACGCCTTCTGTTCAGCGCACAGTACCACCGTCGTGTCGGGTTTTTGGCCTTGCTAGCAATTTTTGTTAATGGTGAAATTGCAGTTCTGGTCCATAACTTCTGGATTCTGCACAAGTTAATCCTCATATTTTTTTATCTCTGCAATTTACTCCCAAAATTTATGATTTCTTCCAATTAAATCCTTTCTTACACAAAAAATGAAAATTATGTAAAATCAAGTAAAATCTCATAAAATTCATCCAAATATCAATAATACCAAAACAAAAATTCCACATTAATATGTATATAAATTCAACTCATCATGTTTCAAATTTAAGAATAATTTCTTAAAACATATCCAACTATAGGCTGCACAATATCAAATCCAAATAGCCCTAAAAACCATTAATATTCCAGTTGGATAGCTCACACATGTAATCCTTATTTCGTACTTCCAATTCTAGCTACTACACTAAATAAATAAATGCTTAATTAAGATTTGAGAGGTTGCAACATACTAGAATTTTTAACAGTTAAATAGAGCCAAAACTTTCTAAAATAAACTGCTTAAAGTCTACCTAATTGTTAAAATGTTGGTTGGAATATACAGTAAAACAAAAGGCTCAAAACCAACAGCTCTTAAATGGCAAAAAAAACTAGAAGTTTCTCGTTAAGATCCTTACCAAAACAACAAGAAAATGTCTCTCAAAATAGTAGAATAATATTTAGAGCAAGTTTCACACAAAAAGAGATGGAAGGCATGAAGAACCAAATTATGAATGGTAGGAAACTTTGTTCAGTGCAATAGCTGTAATAAGGCAAATTTTGAGACTTTAAATAGCAACAAAAGTGCAAAATTTGTCCCAAGCAATAGAAATTGGAGAAAATTGAGGGTGCAACTTGGCTTGGAGAAAAAAGTAACTCGTTCTTGCTCTTCCTAAGTTTGGAGGATGTGTAGCAATTGGAGGAAGTAACGGTATAAGAGAGTTGGAAAAGTTAGTGGTTGGAGGAAGATGGCAAGTCTGAGTTGAAATAAAGTGTAAGCAGGTTTTTAGGGTTAAAAGTCAAGTTGTAAATGAGATAAACTAATACCTCTTTTTATTATTATTATTATTATTATTATTATTAGTTTGTAACTGTTCGCTTCCTTTTAAATTTGTAATAGTTGCTTCATTAACTTTGTGACAGTCACTTTTTTAATTTTTTGTTTCTAAGTGCCGCTCATAAATTTTATTATCCCAAAACTACAACTTATACCCCATAAGTAAAAGCACTCCCCAATTAAGTCCTCATAACACTTTTAAATGTACAAAAAATTTTGGGGTATTATAGCTTCTTTGTCTATATCAAGTCATTGCTCTAATTCACTCATAACACAATCACTTAAAACAGTATGGTAAATGTCATTGGCAAATTAAGATACACCAATCTTGCAAGAAATGAAACGTTGCAGCTTGTTTAATGCATGATAAGAATTTTAAGATTGCTTTAAGAAAACTAACCTCAGTTAGAGAGTTCCAAAAATGCGTGGAACTTTTTTATTTGGAAGAAAATGCAATTCTATAACTGAAAATAAACACTAGATCCCTAATTTTATTTGCCCCATCAAATAAAATCGTAAAAGTAAATAAACACCTCATAATAGTTAGATGACAACAAGTCTAACTCAGCATCTTAATAAAAAAATTTCCAACTCAGATGCAAGGCTGTCATGATAAGGCAAGCATTATCTTTAAACAAATTGATGGTGTCATGTTGAACAGAAGCACTTTTTGCCATTGAAGACGAGTTTGAGGGTTATTTTGCATGTGCATTGACTTGAGTGGCTATTCTGGCACAACCTAAAAAGTTGATGGGTTGATTAGTATATTTTGTGAAGAAAATTTACATTTTGAGAACTGTATTAAGGAAAAATTAATGCTAAGAATGCTACTTTTAACTTTTATTTATTATAATTTTAAGGTTTATAAATACCAATTTATCCTTACAAAATCCTTAAAAAAATTCTTGAAAAAGTAAGCGCTGCCACCTACCTAAGTAAGTTAGTGACAGTGGAAGAAATTTAGGGCAAAGTTCCACCTAGACCTAGCAAACGGGTGGATTTGGTCGAATTCAGATTGAATTAACTCGGGTGACGGGTTATGCAGGTTGGGTCGTAAATGATTTATGAGTTAAAAAAATTTAACCCTAACCCTAACCCTAACTCTAATTCGATCCTAACGAGTTACGGGTTAACCCGCAAGTTGACCTTATCTTCATTTTTTATAATTATTTTTATTAATTTTATTATATACAAATAAAATTATATATTTAAATCTAATTAAAATACTATAACTCATTAACACTAAATATTTTATAGTCTCCATTATAAATATTTAAATTAAAAAAATCATAAAGTTATAAATAACAGTAAGTTGATTAATAATATTAAACTTAAAATATTTAAATTTCTTGAAAAATAAAGTTTTAATTTTACAATTATCTTGAAATATTATCAAGGAGTTTAAACCCTCTTTTAATGATGAAATTGCTTTTCCAAGAATATGTTTTACTAAATTATTATGTTTATGTCATAACATCACATATTTAATATTTTTAGTTGTATTATTATTTAATTCATAATACTTAGTAATTAGATTAAACCCATATAATTTCTAGAGAAAGAAGAAGAAATAATGATGAATGAACATTCAAAATAAATTCAAAACCATTTAAATAATGAGAATGAGGTTGAAGAGTATGAATTAATAGAGAGAGTTATCAATAAGAAAATTAATTAATAATAATAAATATAATATTTTTAAAAATAATAATAAAAAATAAAATAAATAAGTCAACCTGTCAATCTATGGACTGATCCTAACCCAATCCATGATTCATCTAAATTGATATTACGAGTTATTTATAAATTGCGAGTTTAGATATACAAATCTTAACCCATTTTTACTAGTTGAGTTAGGATCAAATTGACGTAACGGGTAAAGTTTTGCCAGCTCTAGGTTCACCAAACACCAACCAAAATTTTTCATACTACCAACGATGTAAAATAGCTTATCACCCTTGTACTAGCCATACCCTTTCTCTCCCTAGATAGCCATAGTTCACAACATAACCTCCCTTTACATCATTTGATCGATTTTTTCCTGATTTCAAAATGGAGGGATTGGTTTTGTTGAGAGCTACACCCAAAATTTCCTTTCATTCTATCAATCACAAACCAAGTTTCTCTATTCGAGGCTCTATTCCAACAGCCCAAACAAGCACCACCATGTGCATCCATTCTTTTCCCCTAATTCAAGCTAAATTGGATGAAAATGCAGAAAATGCTCTCAAAGTGAAGGAATGGGAAGTGGGGATGTTTCAAAATGAGATGGCGGTTAGTCAAAGGATAAAAATTAGGAGAAGGTCACCTACTGAACCGCCAACACATTATGTGGGTCCATTTGAGTTCCAATTACAAAATGGGGGAAATACTCCTCGTAACATTCTTGAGGAAATTGTATGGAACAAGGACGTGGAAGTTACAAAGGTAATTGCTTTGCTTTTTTGCTTTCACTCAACTTCTTGGTTAAGCTTCTTGCTAATGGTGATTGGTTAGTAGATGAAAGAAAGGATGCCTCTGTCTGTGTTGAAGAAAGCCATAGAGAATGCACCTCCAACTAGAGATTTCATTGGAGCTCTCAAAGCAGCCCACTTTGGAACTAAATTAACTGGTTTGATTGCTGAAGTTAAGAAGGCTTCTCCAAGCAAAGGAGTCCTAAGAGAGAATTTTGATCCGGTAAATATGCATCTTCTGCCATTGTGTTCCAAGTGTTCCTAGGTCTGTATTTCCTTACCATATAATCTCTGAGGACAAAAAAAGCTACAGTTTTTTTTTCTTTATAAATATACTATTCAACTTTCATTATATCTTACCTTTTGCTAATTGTTTTTAGTTGATCTTAGTTCATTATTTTATTGGAGAATTGCTCCTATCAATATAGATTTATTGTGGGTACTTTACATTAACCATTTATCTTTAAGTTATTGATTAATTTGTAAGATTTTTATTTTCGGTTGAGATTGCCAAAGCATATGAAAAAGGTGGTGCAGCATGTCTCAGTGTTTTGACAGATGAAAAGTATTTTCAAGTAAGGGTTAAGGGCAAGCTAAACCTTTTTGGGAGCCTGGATTTGAAACTTTAAATTACTTATTTTTAATTTGTCTTCTAATTTCCTTTGTTTCTAAATTAATTAAGGGAGGCTTTAAAAATTTAGAGGCAATAAGGAAAGCTGGAATACAGGTTTGTTCAAAAAACTATTTTGTTACTAAATCAAATACTTTAGAATTTATTCTTTTATAAAATAATGGTATGCAAAAGTTATGAATCTTTTTTCTTCAAACATGTGAATGCAGTGTCCTTTACTATGCAAAGAATTCATAATAGATGCATGGCAAATATATTATGCACGAACTAAAGGTGCAGATGCAGTACTTTTAATTGCTGCTATTCTACCTGATTTGGATATCAAACACATGACCAAAATCTGTAAGATGCTCAATATGGCTGCACTTGTGGAGGTTAGATGGAGACTTGCTTTTACATTAGTTATATTTCTTAAAGGATAATTTTTAGCTATTTTCGGGTTTAGTAAAATGTGTGTAATTTTAGGCTAGATTTTCATGATTTATTAAATATATTTGGGATAGCCTCATAGTTTTCAATTTTCAATTGAAAACCTGAATCCTTTAAAAGTTGCGATTTTGAACTTGTAATGTGACAGTGAACTGCTAATTTGTTTAAAACCTTTATCAAATGCCTATTCCCTTGGTAGATTCACACCCTACTATTATTTTCATTGTGGCTATAAGATTATTGTTTCCATTGTTTTTCATAGGTTCATGACGAGAGGGAAATGGATCGTGTTCTTGAAATAGAAGGGATTGAACTTATTGATATCAATAATCGTAATCTTGGTAACTTTTTTCAACTATTCACTAAACTTCTACTCTCATTAGTTTGCACTTATTTATTTGCCAATTCTGAACTTTTATGAATTGACTTAATATTTCAATTAATTATATTTACATGGTGTAAACGACTCTAATCTTTCTTCTCCTTAGAAACATTTAAGGTTGATATCAATAACACAAAGAAGCTTCTTGAAGGTGAGCGTGGCCAAGTGATTCATCAAAAAGACATAATTGTAAGTGTACTTTATTGTTATTTTCACTTCTACGTTCCAAAAGAAATTTGTTATTCTTTAAAGTATGTCACATATACTGTAAGTTCACTAAATTATCTTTGCTTTTATTCTTATCTTTTTCATTTGTTTATGCCTCAACCCTTTAGGTTGTTGGAGAATCTGCACTGTTCACTCCTGATGATATTGCTTATGTTCAAGATGCCGGTATCAAAGCGGTAAGTAATGCATATCTGATAATTTTTTCTGCAAAACTGGAAATTCTTGGCATATTTTCCACTAGAAAATTGCATTCTTAATATGAAACTAAAATGTAATTCACTTGTTCAATCATGTGGATCTTGCGAACATTAAAATGTTTTTCTTTGTAATTATAAATGTTGCATTTAAAAGGAAAAAGTTCCAAATAAAAAAAAAGTTGATATTTTAATAACCAGTGGTAGGAAAAAAAGAGTTAGCTTTCTATGTGGCACTGAAAATGAACCGATAGGATAACTTGGTAGTTTATAGTAAACGTGATCATAAATAGTTAGTAATCTTGCATGCACAACTAGTTTAGAAGCCGAAGTTCAATGAAATAGTGATCATCCTAGCTTTAGTTTAAGTATTCTTTTGTAAATTTAATGTTGAATTAGAATAGTACATAGTTATTTTTTAAAGAAATGAATGTTTTATATGAAAAGGGATAATCACAGTCTGTGGCTATGTTGTAGGTTTTGGTTGGAGAATCCATTGTTAAGCAAGATGAACCTGGAAAAGCTATTAGTGGACTTTTTGGTAAAGACATTTCTTTGTGAGGTCTTCCATACTACCCAACCTCCATCCATATGGTTGTAATAAAGTTAACTACAAAATTAGACACGATTTTTGATAGTAAGAGACATGCATGTTTTGTTATTACTTTGTTTATCATTTTTTATTAAAAAAAGTGTTGTGCAATTTGAATTACATCAGACTACACAAGTTAAATCATTGAATGGGGGACATAGGCTCTTGACATTACTAGTTTTTTTCCCCATTCAATAGCTATTGATTTGTAGTAAGAATTGCAAAATAGGGCACTCTTTTTTATTTCTTCTGAAGATATGCTATTGTGCCTAGCTTGCCAAAATGCTTAATTTGGAATAACCTAGAGTTTAATTCTTTACTAATCATGTTTATTTATTTATTTTTATTTTTTGTTGTACAATATGAGACAAATCTATTTTATCCTTTTATCTTCCCTACATGTATGTCCATGACTTGAATTCAAGATTTGATAATTTTACTAGAAGGATGTTACCATAAGTGGCTTAGGTTGTTAGCTTTAACAATTGTATGTTTAGTATAAATGAATTTCACAAATTCAACACCCTTATGTGATTAAAAACTTGTCATTTTATTATTATGATTTCAAGTTTTTACCCTTGTATTTGGATTGATTAAAATCTTGATGAGGGAGAAAGGGATAGGAAGAACTTAATGAAGATAGTATAACTATATAACTGCATAAGTTGATAGAAAAGGAGAGATAGTTCATCTTCTTAACTTTTCATATAAAATATCAACACAAATGCTTGCATTACACCAAGATAGGACTCAAAACACACCACACAGCCAGATTACACATGCCTCGGTGATATAAAAATCAAAAGAAAATAACTTACCACTTTAAAAAGAAAGGACACACTTACCTTAGCAATAAGAACATGTGCAATGGAGAATAATAAAAAAGCTCACTTTGGTGTCATATTATTACAATTAAATATTATTTTAGAAAAGAGAATAAAAATTATTTTAGAGAAGAGAATAGTATATGGTAAATTATCCTCCCATTTTTTTTTTAGGTGATCTGTCTAAAAACTCACTTTTTAATTAATATTTTCAAAAATCAACTATTAGATTAATAATTCTATCCATGTCAATCACACATGTCAATTTTTGTATTAATCTAACATGTATAACTCTTTAATTAAAAGAACTCTATTTACTGATATATATTTAATAATGCAAAATGAAGTGGTTAGATCTACTAGAACAACTTGAAAATTCGTATACATATTCTATATGAATAAAACTTTTAATTTAATGATTGATTTTTGAAAATATTAATTAAAAAAAAGTTTTTAGATAAATTCTAAAAAATATTTAGGAAAATATTAATTAAAAAATAAAATTTTCAGGTAGACCCTAAAAAAATTTTAAGAAAACGACTTACAAAACACTTTTCCCCTTATATAAATAACATTTTCATATATTTATCCTTTAAATAAAACATTTAACGGAACACATTTTCTCCAATGCATAGAGCTTCTTTGAAAGTCACATCAATATTATGTTATTTAATTAATATTATTTAAATTAAATAAAAAATTTTGAATTAATATTTCTTTAAAAAGGAGAAAAGCCTTTGATTTTAAGCCATTGGGACAAAGGATTGTTGCACTTTTTAACTTAAAATAAGCAAATAGATCTAGTTGCATACAGAGAGCAAGTTGTAGAAAAAGAACACCCCTGTTATGCTATGAAATTTTGTCTCTGTTCTATTTTAAAAAAGGGCAATATAATAGAACCTCGTGGTACATACCCTTAGAAGAATTCATCTTTCAACAAGAGAATTTCTCTAGAGACATAACATAATTCAAACATTATTTCTTGTCTATTTTATTATACTTTCTAAAAAGACATGATCTAATTTACTTGTCAATTTTATTTTTCAATATAACATTAAAGTCTTTATTTCTAATTTGTCTTTATTAATAATTACCCTTTTTTTTAAAAAAAAAACAAATACACCCACCTTGCCAATTACCCTTATTAATAAAGATAAATATGAAAAAAAATTTTGAACTTGTTCAAGTAAGGTCATAATATGAAACTATAATTAATAATAAGACCGTTTTTATGGATTTTTGTAATTTTTTTAGGTTAAATGTTAGAACTTCTGATTTTGAATATTTTTAGTCCCTAAATTATTTTTTGCACTCTTTTCATCCCTAAACTGTGAAAAATACACTTTTTTTGTCCTTCAATTAGTTTGGTCCATTAAATATGTTAAGCATATCTATAAATATATATATATATATACATTTTTAATCCTTAAACTTATAATATATGCACATTTTTAGTTCTAATATGCATATAGACAAACTTAACAAATTAACTTACGAAAGCACTAAAAATGAGCATTTTTGATGGTTCAAGGATGAAAAAAGTTTTAAAAAAGTTTAAAGACTAAAAAAGTTCAAAATTAAAAGTTAAGGAACTAAAATGACATTTAACTTTTTTTTTATAATCATGATTAAAAGTGTGATAAATGAAATGGACAGGATGTAGTAATAAATGAGCTACTTAAAACATTACTAACCCCTAGTAAATATAGGCTAATATTGGATAAATGAACTTATAAATTTCAAGAAGACATAATACAAATTTATAGGTTAATATTGCATAATGAAAGTAAAAGACTTTGTATAAGTGATTTGTGTATACTGTGTATAAATGAATCCAATTTTAACTTAAAAATGTATTTAGGGACAAATTTGATGGCTTTGTTTGACAATGTTTCTTGCAAACTTTTTTCACACAAATAACTTATTTAATATATGAATTTATAATTTTAATTATTTTTTTTATAATTTTATTAATTTTAATTAATATTTTATATAGTTTTAATATAATAAAAGACAATATATATGCCAACGACCTAAATATTTCAGCGATAATTTTCTTCCGCTAAAAATAAGAAGTCTTGAATTCAAATCGTATAATATGTTGGTGAAGTAAGATAAAGAATATGAGATGATTACCTATCATTCTAAAACCAACATAAAAAGTTGAAGAATGCTCAACGATTTGACTATCTTGAGCCCCCGTTTAATAAACCACCACTGAAAAAATGGAATGAATTCACCCACATTATTACCCTTAAATTGATGAACCATATCAAATTTTGTGGAACTCGTTATAATTCTAAACCTTTGTTAAAAAATGTATAGAATTCAATGTTAAATTAAATCATGAATTAGGTTAAGTTTAATTCAAATTTTATCAATTTTAATGGTAAGGGTTTTTTTAAAAATACATATTAAAAGTATAATAAATATATATAGTTTTAATTTTTATATTAAAATAATAAAAATTAACTTTTAATTTATTAATTGTCTAATTAAATTTATACATGCAATAACGACATAAAAATTAATATTAATTTTTATACTTTTTTATACAAATTAATAAAAAAAATTATAAAGACCCTTTAAAATAAAATCCATGCTTATACTTTTTTATACAAATTAATAAAAAAAATTATAAAGACCCTTTAAAATAAAATCCATGCTTTTTATTAATAATCTGAACATTTAAATTATT